GTGGCTGCAGCATCGGCAGCAGTGTCCGGAACGGAGACTCCTGGAGCCTGGACTCTTGGCAGTGTCAGACGATAGCAGAGCCAGCATTTACTGGGGCATTGCATTGTTGTAGCTAGTCCACAGGGGGTTCCTTGAGGACTGGAACACTTTCCTGAGACCTTGCAGAAGCTCTGGAGCCATGCTTGAGACCCAATTTGAACAGATGGTGAACTCTCATTTAAGTAATTTCTTTTTATTCTTTTTGTAGCTCAAAATGGCATTGGATTGTAGCGACAAAACACTTTTCACTGTATCTTCAAGATATATGTGACAATAAAATCATCCGTCCATTTGCCCGCCCACCTATCACTGCCGCCAAACTGAATTCAGACCCTCCCTGCTCTACACAAAGCCAGGTGTGGTGCCACTGCTTGGGCTGCTGCTGTCACCATCCCCTGATTAGGCAATTAACCCGCCCCCTCCTCCCCAACAGTATCAAAATAGTATACTTGTTAGAGAGGGGGATAGCCACAGGGGACTCCTGCATTGCCTGCCTGCCCCTTCTAGCAGTCGCCCACCTATTTGCCTGAACCCTGGCTATGACCACGCCTCTGAAACTCCTTTCTATGATGCTTTCTGCCTCTTGCATGCTCATAAATGTATTCAGTTGCTACTCCAACCAATCCATGTGGTCTGTATGAACATAATATCACACTGACTGCCATTTTTACACTCAAACAACTATTTAACTAAAATAAGCTTCAATTAAATTAATTTACAGCTAACTAGGCACCCCCTATTAGATTCTCACTAAAAAATAATAATTACACTATCTTGTGAACAGTACTCTAAATCCCAGTACTGTACTACTGTACCACTAGCCTGAATCCCACTACTCTAAAACCTTATGGGTATGAAATGGCTAATGGAAGTTGAAGGTAAAGGGGACAAAAATCACCCAACCAGTACTAATCAATCAGGAGCCTTTCTGTCCAAAATGTCACTTTTGAACTTGTGATGTGAAGTAGTGCAGCTCTGACAAAACACCCTATGTCATGAATCAAGGTCAGTGCTCCACACATGAATTTTTACCTGCTCCTGTCAGCAGCTTCTCTGGTTCTGGTTCGCTGTTGCTGATGGAAGTAAACTTGCTACTCCAAACTAGCGGTTGTGGTGACTGCGCCAACCTCTCCCACAATCCTCCTTGGTTACTTAACACCAGTGCCCTCTGGAACAGCTTGGCTAGCAATGGCTTGTTCTGGCACACACTTAATGGGTACTATTTCCAGAATGTTGCCTGGGGCCAAAGCCTTTGCAGTATCCAGTGTCTTCAGCAACGTCTTGACATCACATGAAGTGAACTGAATTGGCAGCAGACTGGCATTCATGATGCCAGGTCGTGATGGCTTTTGCTTCTGGCTGAAGATGAATGCAAATGCTTCAGCTTTGTCTTTTGTTGTGGTGTTTAATTGTCCACCATCATTCACAAGTGGAAGTGGCAGGACTGCAGAGTTTAGCTGCGATCTGTTGGTTGTGGAATAGCTTAGCCATTTCTATTGCTTTCTGCTTCCTTGTAACGTAGGTAGTCCAATGCTGTAGCTTCACCAGGTTCAGTACAGTGTGGATTGACGACTTGATGAAGGGTGTAAACCCGAAACATCAACTTTCCTGTTCCTCTGATGCCACCTGACCTGCTGTGTTCCTCCAGATCCATTTTGTATTGACTCTGACTCCAGCATCTGCAGTTCTCGCTACCTCCGAGCTTCATCAGGTTGATGCCTGATTACTAGGTATGTCTAACATTGTTCCTGGGATGGCCTTCTGCACTCTTCATTGTACCAGAGTTTGTTCCTCAACTTGATGGTAATGATTGAGTGGGACTTTATAGATTGTAGTTCAATATAATTCTGCTGCTGATGATGACCCACATCACCTCAGAAATGTCCATTCAGAGTCATATAGCACAAAAAAGAGACCCTTCAGTCCAGCTCGTCCATGCTGACCAAGTTTCTCAAACTCATACAGTCCCAGGTGCCTGCGTTTAGCCCATATCACTCTAAACCTTCCCTATTTATGTACCTGTTCAAATGTCTTTTAAATGTTGGAACTGTACCTGCATTTACCACTTACTCTGGCAGTTCATTCCACATATGAACCACTTTTTGTGAAGAAATTGCCCCTCGTGTCCCTTTTAAATGTTTTTTCCTCTCACCTTAAAATATGCCCTCTAGTTTTGAACTCTGCCACCCTAGGGAAAAGACCCTTGCTATTTACCTTATCTATGCCCCTCATTATTTTATATCCTCTACAAGGTAACCCCTCAACCCCCTACACTCCATTGAAAAAAGGTCTGAGCCTATCCACCTCTCCTTATAACTTAAACCCTCCTGTCTTGGCAACATCTTTGTAAATCTCTTCTGAATCCTCTCCAATTTAAGAATATTTATCCTATAGTGAGGCAACCATAACTGTATACAGTACTCCAAAAGTGACATCAACATCCGGTACAACCGCAACATTCTGGATGTGTTCAAAATCTATCTCAGTTAGCTTGGTCGTGGTGCTGAACACAATAGAGGATATCTTCAATGTGAAGATGAACTTTGTCTCCTCAAGGACTGTGCAGTGGTCACTCTGTCATGATACTGTTAAAGACAGATGCATCACATTGTTTGAGAACAAGGTGAAGTAAGTTTTATTGCTCCTCTTAGTCCCACCACAAGTTGCCATACACCCAGTCTAGTAGCTGAGTCCTTTAGGGCATTGGTTACTATTGGTGCTACTAAACCAGTCTTGTTGATCGACATTCAGGGCCCACCTAAAATGTATTTTGTGCCCTTACCGCCTCTTCCACTTGGTGTTCAACTTGGAGGAGGACCGATTTATCAGCAAAGAAGGGTGTAGAAAGTGGTAATCAATAGGAAATTTCCTCATGTTTGACTGATGACATGGCACTTCATAGGGTCTGAAGTCAATGTTGAGGACTCCCATGAAAACTGCTTATGAGAGAAATGTCAGAGGGTTAATATGATATTATAAGTAGACCTAAGAGTAGACTATATGACGGGTTTAGTGCATTCAGCTTTCAATATGATTATTGGCTATACTTTGAGTTCAATTCTAATTTCCTGCAAGCTGTTCATGTCCTTTAATTCTATGTGACCAAATTTGTCTGTCAACCTGAAGCTATACTTCTCACCCTGGCACCTCCAGCCTGAGACTGTTCTACATTCCCAAGTCAGGGGAGACAATCTCGAAGTTTCAGTCCTGTCAATCCCCTGCAGAATATTTGTATATCAATCACACACTCTTCCAAACTAGAGGAAATCAGCCTGATTTAATTCAGCATTGCATCCCCCCCTGATAGCGTTGTGGATGTATGTACAGAACATTGACTACAGAGGTTGAAGAAGGCACCTCATCACCATCTTTTCAAGGGCAACCAGGAATGGGCAATAAATGCTGGCCAGCCAGAGATACCCACATCCCATGACTGATTTGAAAAAAATGTCTATTGAATTTTTGTTGTACTGCCTCTAATGCAAGTATATCCTTCCAGCAATATGGAGACCAAAAATGCACACAGTATTCCAGGTGTGGTCTCATTTGTACAATTGTAATAAGACAACATGATGTGGAAAGGTCAAGGGGATGGTTAGGAACTGGTGTTTGGGGAATTGACATAGATGGAGTGGTTTCAGGAGCATAAGGGAGCAGTAAACTCTGTGGATGAGTTGAATTGGAGATGCAGAAAGTTGGAATATAGTTTGGGTATTCTTCAAACAATAGCACAACATATCATTGCTTTCAAACACTGTTATGCCGACCTTTGTTTTCTTTCAGTTTGTCATAAATATTAGGAAGGTTCAGATAATATAATCCACTGGAACTACCAAGTTTTATTTCTAACTGCCATTTTCAGCTGTAAGTGCATTAAAGACAGAGGGATATTTCATACCATTTGTTAGTACCAGCTGCATTATAACCCCAGAGATAGTGGTTGGAAATTTTATTTTAGAAGGGCCCAGAAAATCCATTTATCTTCCAGAGAATATTTAAACGTCTAAGCAACAGGTTTTTATATAACAAAAGCAGAATGTGCTGGAGATGCTTAGCAGGCCTGGCAGCATCTGTTGAGGAAAAGAGTAAATGATTTGAGTCCTGACCAAACATAACCTGTTTTTCTCTCAACAGACTTCCTGTGTTTCTCCAGCACATTGTATTTTTGTTTAAAATTTTCAGAATCCACAGTTCTCTTTCTAAATCTTTGAGCGCTTGCCTCTGTGGAAGTCTACCTGCTCAGAATATTCTAGTAAGCTGAATTCTAGTCAAATATAGATCAATATGAAGTCTGTTGTTAACTGCACCATGCAAACAGCTGGTATCATTGTCGGGTATCAGATGCAGGATGAGTGTAATAAAAATATACTTCGTCAGTATTTTTCTTTGTTCTGTCAGATTCTCAGAACTTTTAAAGGGTTAGTGTAGCAGCTTATGTGCTGAATTAAAAATAGCCTCTTTTAGACCAAGACTATTTGAAGCAGGATGAGACAATTTTTGGTTGATAAAGTTAAAATGAAGTTGAACCATCATAAAGTGGTAGCTATCTTCAGATGCAGATTTGTGTGATAAAAGTGAGTGAATTTGTAAGATTTCTTTCTGTTCAAAAAAATCATATTAATCAATCGCTTTGTAGATGAGGGTCCATTGGGGGAACTTTCATGGGCGCCTTCATATTCCTGTAAATCAGGAATCAAATTCACCAACTCCTTAATGTAGTATTATTTGAAGCATTCAGTAATTTGATGATAATTCACTAAAATCATAGAACAATGTCAAAAGTATTGTTTCATATTTTCTGTTGGAAATTAAATTTTCAAAAACTGAAATCTCTGCCAATTTTAAAGTGAATTTCTGGTAGCTGGATTACAATAAAGAGATTTACTTTATTGTTAAACCAAAAAATGGCTTGATAAGAATTAATATTTTGAACTAAATTTTCTGGATATTTCACTTAACAGAGTCAATTTCATCAAATGGTTGAACTCACTGAAGAAGCAAGGAAAGCATATCAGGAAATGCTTAATGCCCTAGAGCAAGAATGTAAGGCGGTTGAAGAATGTTCAGAGGAGCCATTGTGCGATTTGACAGAGGAAAGCGCAACTACGTTGGATAACATGACCTCTCAGTCATTTTTGGAAACCAGGGAACCAGAATATGGTGCATATCAAATACGGTGTAGTAGTACAACTTCACTCAAACATTCTTCGCAGCATTTTATATATGGGACTCTAGTTTTGAATTTTGAAATATTGGTTAATTTGCAACCATGCACAAAATTGTTCTGCAAATTAGGAATGTAATAATTAAATTTGTACATATTCTGCTGTTAGAAATGTTTAGATTACTTGCAAACTTTTCCCTCAGGGATACTGAGGCTGTAGGATGTATATATGCAAGTTCTCTAGGTACTGTAAAATCTAGCATATTCATTGTAAATAAGTCACGTCTAGGATTTTGCATGACAATTCATATAGCACTTTTAACATAATGCAACATCCCAAGGCTTTCACAGAGGTATTATAAAGCAAAATGCAAGTCGATATTAAGATAAGTAATCAAACATTTAAGGCAAAGACTTAGGTTTCAAAGAGTGTCTTCGATGAGGGAAGTGAGGCTGCAGATCAGTGAAGTCCAGAGAGAAAATTCCAGAGTTGAGGCCCTAGGCAGTGACCAACCAGCGAGGATGGGTTAATAGTTGAACAAAATTTGCTCTAATTTAGGAAATGGGCAACAGAACTTTTGACAAAAGGATCTTATAATTTGTCATCTCTAAAGGGTGATTAGGCTTCTCCTTTGCATCGGTGGTTTTGGGCCTAGTGTTGAACTGCAGTAAGAAACATTATTATTATAAAGAAACTACTGTAAGGGTCTCATGATTGAGGGCCCTCAGCACTAAAGGAAATTTAGGAAAAAAGCCCCTTGTTTAACCATTTATCTCATTAGTAGTTCAAGCAAGGGTTTGAAGCATAATTCTGTTGTGAATTAAAGGTTAATTAATGCATCAAGTTTTATGTACATTGACTTGTCCCACACAAGACCAGTGGAAACAATACGCAGCAAGGGTCTGCCACTGGCCCTGGTCCATCACAATATCTCACTCCAGCCCAGTTGGTGTCCTGCTCTTGAAAGTCTTGCTTCGATGTATTTTGCCCGGTCCCCCTTGACCAGCCCCTTTTCCCACCCGAGAACTGCCACACTGGTAGAGTGTACATCTGGAAACCAACATAAGTGTGAGGCCATTCTCCATTATTTTTCCATCACATGACATGTAGGTCTGTCTGATCAATTCTGTTTGGCAATTCATCAGTAATATTCTCTAAGTGATGTCCTGAATCTGAACTTAATTTCCCCATACGTTTAACGCAGAGATTCTTTTAAACTGCAGGCAAGGTCAAGTCTTTGAGATTTTTTTTTAATCAGCATCTCGCACAAATGCTGAAACAAATGTGATGTCTGCTGTAAACTACAAATGCTAAATGCTGAAAACCGTACAAAATAAGATCTTTTCCTTTCCTCCTCCTCTTTCTTCCTTTGCTTCATTTGTACTAGTTCAACTTCAGTTGATCTGGCTCTTTGTGGATTCTAACCTTCTATGTATTTTTTTTTAGAAAAAAGCTACATTACTTCTTTCTGACTTGCATTATTTAACTTGAATGTGGGACTAAAATGGAAAAGAAAAGTTTCCATTGTAGTGATGAGCAAGTAGACTCCCGAGCAGTTCTGAAAACCCATGTGCACCCAAACAAAGAAGTAAAATTGTATTCCTTGTGGTAAAGGATTAATCTGAGTTTAACTCAGCTTAAATTCGCCAATGGCGTGAAAAGTTGCAAATATATATTCTACCTTTTATAAATATCTGTCCAAAATCTGCAAAAGAAAATTTGTTTCAAAAAATTAATTTGAAAGGTATTTGCTTTATTTTATTAAATAGAATTGTAATCTTCTGTTTAGCTACTAAGATACCTTTATGAAATATACCATAAATAATACCAGTCAAACAGGTCTATTTTCTTTTTAAAAAGACCAATAAGCTGTATTTGAATTTAATTAGAATACTTGATAATTGGATTTATTTATGTTTCTTAATTGCAACAGAGCACAAAAATGGAAATTCCCACAGAATGTTGTAATTTGATATATCTAATTTGCAATAAAATGAATAATGTGATCTATCACTCTTTCAGTTACTACATGGAGAAACTTGCTGAAGAGACAGTGTAACTCCAACCCATCAGACACTGAAAAAGCAAGAACTTCAGAGGCCCTACATTGTGACTCAGAAGAAGAATCTGGTGATTCAGTACAGAATTTTACAAAAACCATTCTTGATTTTGAATGTCAAGCAGCAATAAGATGAATGAATGTGACTGCACTGTAAAATGCTTCTGTTGCTACCTATCCACCATTTTGTGCAGAAAATAGTGATTAAAATTTAGAGCAAGTGAAAAGCCATAGAAGCATGTTACCTTCTTTGCAAAAAATGCAATTTGCAGATTTCTATCAACCAAATGAAATTAACCTAATTTGATCTGCATCCTGATTTTCCACCATCTAATTGTTTAGTTAACATTCTTCAGCCAATGATAAACATCAGTCATATTAAATAGTCTGAAGAAACCAAGTCAAGAATGATAGATAGTTGAAAGCTAATTTATTACTCAGAGATCATGCTGTTTCTGAAATTGAAATTTGTATTAGTTTGCACCAGTCCCACTTCAGTTTAAAAAATACAGCAATTATGCAGTTTTTGTACACTGCAGTTTTCTGTTTTCTTGAAATTCACAATGGTCTGCTAGATTCAATCAAAAACAATGGTTTAATCTGACACAGAGCTCAGTGTGTGAGTGCTGGAAAGTATGATGGCCATCAGATGTCAACTAATTCCCCCCTCCTGAAGTGCTGTTGTGGAGACTTTCTCAAGGGCTACTTTTTGGTCTTCAGGGCTCCTTTTTCATTCTCACCATCTCATTTATTTGGTAATCCAGTCTTGTGAACCAATCAGCAACAAGCACTTGAGAGAAAAAGCCTGTGATGGGTGAAGCAATTCCTCAAATTCTGATTGTTCACATAAGGGGCAACTTTTCTCCAAATAGTCACCCCTATGATTTAATTTTCCTGGGCATTTTGTGGTGAATTTTCCCAGTAGGCATTTTAAGCGCTGAGTCCTAGCTACCATTATTAGAGAGTTGTGAAAATAATCATATTCATATTTATCACTAAACTACATAATCACATCTATTGCAAAGCTGTATAATAACAGTTCAACTTCTTTGCTGTTTGGGAGTTATCTCACAACTTGAAATGAACCATTGAGTAGCTCTGAGGCACACAAATACTACTAGGCAGATTATAACAAGTATTCCTTCAGGACATGATATTCAAAGCCTCTCCAATCGTGCATATAAAGTCCGAGCAGCTTATCTAATGTCCTTGCGATGCATCTCGTTATAATACCTTCACACTAGTTGGATATTTTCTACTAATGTTCAATAATATACTTAAATCTAAATAGATATTTTAATTTTATGGAAGTTCAAATTACATACAGGTATTTCTGCTATAACGCTTGTTTTGTTAATGCAAATTGGCTGTAACGTGATTGATAAATAGTGGATGCTGTTTGGATAACATGATCTTTTTACTGTACAGTATAGCAATTTTCTATAGTGATATCCCTATAACATGATTTTCCATAGCGTGATTTTCTACAGTGCAAGGTCACTCAAGAACACAATTATCATGTTATAGGAGAACTACCTGTACCTTAAACTTAACTGTATGATTTCTACCTACAATCGCATCAGCTAGTTGGTTCAGATTTCTTTGAATGTGTACACTATAAAATTTGCTAATGGTATTAATCTATATGGAGAGGATAAGTGTATGACAGAACCTCCACCCCATCTCTGAACAGCTTGAACAGCATGAACAGCAAAGGATGTAGCATAATCTTTGCAAAAACCCATTGTTCAGTAAATTAAAATATAGCAAACATTTTTATGAACCAGCACCCATTGCTCAAGGAGTATGCCGGTTGATCAAGTATTCTAGATAATCAAGAGGTCCAGATAATCAATGCAAAAATACACACTAAGTAACAAAAAAACGTAATACACATCACCGTTATACTTTATTTACAGCATAAATCACTTAAATAATAATGCAACTCTGCCTTAAAAAAAACTTACCGGCAGAGAGCCTTCTCACTTGGACTCTAAACTGACCGCTCGGACATCATGGTAGATTGCAGTATTTGAGGAGAAAGTGACTCAAAATTGAATCGATTGTTGATATTTTGTGTGGCCGTTAAACAACAAGTATATTTAAATAAATTAAAAAGCAATAATTGGATAGAATAACACAGTAAACTTTGCGATATTTGAGGTATATAATTTTTCCCAGTCATCAAAAGTGCCAGTTTATAAGGTGCCAGTTAAAACAAAGTTTGCTGTATTTCCATTTATGACTTGTGACATCAAAAACAGTTTTTAGTACACTTGACTAATTTTTTTTGACTGAACTTCGCTTAATCTTAATCAATTGCAAACCCTATTAAGCTTAGTTAGAACATGACTAATGGTAAAGACTTGCTTCAGTTGTAATTTCAGGAAACCCCAAGCTATCAAGACTTTCTACCCAATAAGTAAAAATTGCAGAATTACGAACTTGCCATGAAATACAGGATGTTTAGAAAATCCTCATGCAAATTTAAACTTTAATAACTTTGGAAGTACACAGGATTGGAATAAAATAGTAGACAGCACATGAAAGCATAATTGATAAAGTTTGAACAACATGCTCTGAGATTTCCACCTAACCATCATCTTTTGTGATGCACTGTTCAATACTCCAAGTTCACCTTCTTTCTTCTACTGTTGCCATTTTCAATCTGTTTTAGCGTAATTATTGTTAAAACATTTTTAAGACTGCTTTCATTGTCAGTTACAGCTTGCTTCTATCAGTTATATACCCGAAGTTATTAAGTTGTGTAAAAATTAACACTGAATTGCAAAGCAGTTTTGCTTTGGTTAGCTCTGCAGAATTGCAGAAAACGGAACTAGGTTCAAAAGTTGCTAATATATTTTAACTTTCCAAAGACGCAGTTGCAAAATCAGCTTGAAAACGTAATGCATCAAAAGTTGATTGAAACGTGCACACGTATTTTTAATTGCTGAAGCATGATAAGAACAAATAAGACATTTAAACAATTGTATCTTGGCTGCAATCTTTACTCTGCATAATCAATTCGAGACAAATACCTATACAACTTGTTATCTGCCATTTAGAATTGGAACATAGCAGGGGTATTTTATTTTCCAAAGTGAGTAGCAGATAGGAAGTTAAGCACTTTTTTAGTAACTCAATTTTCTTTGCCTATCTTCCCTACCATCATGTCCCTAGGTCCTACATTTAGGTAAAATGCAGGGATGTATCATTATGGCAACACTCAATCTGTCAGTCTTTTAACTTATCCAGAGTTTTGACAATGCCATGTATGATCAATTATTGAACTTCTGTCTCTAACTTCAAATATACTGTGCAGAACACTGTTAGTATATTTGGAAGCCATCCAAATTCTAATTTGTAACAAATACAGCATGTAACATGAGTCCTGTGGTAATAGGATATTATAGATTTAATGTACACCTTGTACAAAGAATGCATTTGACAGATTATCAGTGAGATGGGATGTGCAATTTATAAAACTTCAAGCTTGTTCCCATCTGCTGGGGGAGGCTAGTCCAAAAAAAAAAAAATCTGAGACCATGGTATATGGCATGATCAACACCGAACATGAACATCACCTTAAGTGAGAGCGACCAAGTGACAAGTATTGCAAATTACAACTGGCTTGGAAACACCTTGCATTCGTGACACTGATTTGGTTTGAAAGTGTTCTTCGTCTCCACTATAGTAGTTCAAATTTGATTTGCTTTATATAGTAGCCAGAATATTAAACTGTATTCTACATGCTGTACATTGAAGCAAGCTAAATTTTATGGTCACCAGTTACAAGCCAGATATGCTTAACAGTCAGAATTTAGTAATTCTTATGAAACAACATATACAATGACGTATTCAGGGTAATTTAGGACAGGTCCAATGGAGTTATGTGAGTTGTAAAAATGAAAGATATTGAATAAAAATAGAAAGTGCTGGAGAATTTCTGTTAAGCATGGGAGATTTGGACTCAAAATGTTAACTTTGTTTCTCTCTCTCTGCAGATGCTACCTGATCGGCTAAGTTTCTCCAGAACTTTGTTTATATTTCATTTCTCCAGCATCCATGGAATTGATTGAAGATGAGGAATGCAAACTTTATTCATTACTTGACAGATGTCATTGAATCATTCCTACATTCATTACTGGTAATGATATTTAAAATAGTAACTTCAGTAAACACTGAACCTAGACTAACTCTGAATCTTTTTCAATTATTGTAAAAGTTTTCTGTGAGAAATCTATTCAGTTTCCAGGTTAGTGTGGGGTATGTGGTGTTGTTAAACATTGCTATTTATTTGAAGACCTATAATGATCTGGTTTGTCCTGGGGCTGTTTTCTCATTAAGGTACCGTCTTCTCTTTTCAGCTGACAAGCTATTTCATTTTGTACTGAGGACTTTTAATTTGTACACTGAGCAGATCTCAAATTGTGGTAGTTTATCCAAGCAGAATTAGTTGTGATCTAAAACAACAGATCACCTATGTGCCAAAGAAAATCTCAGCAAGACTGGAACGAAGGTTGGGATGCGCGGTTGAAGCAGCTGCTCAGAATAACACTTCCCAGAGATGGGGAAATTGCCAGACCCATTTGTTGGAGGTTTCATTCTAAACAGGCTGCCATGATGACTTGGGACAAAACCTGGCCAAATTTCTGCCCCTTCTCTGTATTTCCAGGCGACAAAAATCTCAAATCTCAATTACTGTGCTACATTTTGTGTCTGAGCAATAACAACTACTGTGTCCAGGTCGGTGCTAATCTGTGCTGAGTTAGCTGATGTAACATCCAAAGGCGTTAACATCCATTGGTTAGGTAGGGGAAAGATCAACAAAAGTTTCTGCTGCTGCTCCTTCTTAATCCTTTCATAGGATGTGGGGATTGTTAGTTACGTCACCATTTCTTGCCATTGCTAATTGCCATTGAAGTGAGTGGCTTTCAAGATCATTTCAGAGAACAGATAAAAGTCAACCACATTAGTATGTGGGTGTGGAGTCACATGATAGCAGATCTCCTTCCTTAAAATGATATCAGTGAACCAGATGGGTCTTTACAAAAATTGAAATGGTTTCACACTCACCACTACTATGACTAGCTTTGTTATTGGAATTTGAGTTGTAATAGTTGCCTGGTAGGATTTGAACCCATGTTCCCCCAAACATTAGCTCAGACCTCTGGAATACCAGTCCAAGGATGTTATCACAATGCCATCGCCTACCCGTTATTTGATGACCCCAACCAGCTGTGGAAGGATGTAGATAGTAAATAAACCAGAGGTGGCATGGTGTGATTCACTTCTCTATTGTATAGTTTGCCTATGCTCAACATCTTTTAAATAATTGCCAATTAATGAATTACTGGAGGTCATTCATCTGTAACGTAGTGAGGCACTCCAGGTCTTCAGTAGAGATGGAGAAGAGGTGGAAAAAAAGTAAAAGACAAAAATAAATTGAAATTGTACAAGTCCTACTTTCCTTACTTTCAACAAGGAATAAAAATTTTCACATCATTGTTTTTAAGCTAACAGTCTGATAAGCATGCTGTTTTCATGTTTGGGCTTCCATCAATTTTTGCATTTTTCCATAACCTATGATGGACTTAAGGTAGACCAAATATTCAGTCATGAAAGCAGTGGTTAACTGTCACTCGACGTATTTACTACAGTTTAACATAGGCCCAGAATTTCTAATCAGGGTCACAAACGCTATCTCGAACCATGATCATATGAAAAAAAACGTACCTTTGGAGGAGCACTCCATGTGAATTTCTGGGGTCAAAAGCTTTCCATAGTCCGGGGAAGGAAACAATGCAAGCAACAGTGAAGTGAATTAGCGTTGATATCCCACCCCATTTTTCACTATCAGCTGCAGTATTACTAGATTTATAAGTCTTGAAGCCATTTGACAGCAGCTGAGAGAAAATAAGTGTGTGAGGTAAGTGAAGATGTAAAGTGGCATGTGGATGAGGGGTACAACTAGTAGAGGGGTAGTCGGGTGCTTGTGTGGAGGGGTTAGGATGATAAGTACATGCGTGCATGCTTTGCATAGGTTGGGTAGGGGGAACAAATTGGTTTGGGCTGGTTTAATCAATAGGGTGTGGGGAATGGGATAGGGTCTTTGGGTCTAATGTCAAAATGCGCGAGTGGTATGATGTCAAGTGTCATGGGGTTTCCAGGTGGTAGGAGTGCACAAGGTTGAGATTGTTGGTTGGAAAAAGTTAATTATTCAAGTTACAGCAGGCTTTAATCCAAACTTTGAGCCAAATCAATTGGAATCCTTTGAAGTCTCTGACTCTGACTTGGAGCTGGTGACTTTATATAGAGACTTCTGGATATTATTTAATTACCCATTGGAAGTTTTGACTTCCAGAACAATTCCCAGCTGCTTTGGGAATTGCGCATGGGCCTGCCTACAACTTTTGTTTACTGATGCAGAAGATTTGGGTCACAGTATTTAATAATTCTTTAGTTTTATTGATGTTTGGATTGATATTTGACAACATAAATGTGCTGGCTTATAAAGCTAGCTCAATTATGCTGAGGATGGATTCATGAAATGACAATGTACAGAAAGGCCTCAAGTACTGGTGCATTCCCATGGGCAGTTCAGTCTGCTTTGTGGGAAGCAAAGGCTAATTTATTTGTCTTTCTGCAGAAATATCACACCGAATAGTGTTTTCATTTTGTTTTGTTTTGTTTATTACTGTTCCCTTTTCCTTCCTTTGCCTGTAATCTGCAATGAACTGCCTGGTAAATAACTGCACAGAGGATGAGCTGAAAAAGCGTTCCAAAATAGTTTCTGCATATCACTTGTGCCTAAACATTTTTTTAAAAATTGGTTCAGGTCCAGGACCTACGATTGTTAAATGGGGTTTGGTAATTTTCCAAGTTCGTAAAATGGGTGTCCACTTATGAAAAAGTTCTTTTTTGCAATCAATATTTTGTAAGTTTCAAATAGGTGGAACTGTAATTAACGTTTGATTTTTGTTCTAAAAAGTAAACCAGGAAGTTCCTTTTAAAAATCAAAATTTTTGTTTAGCAATATTATGGAGAACACCATTCTTCTTGCTTTTTTTTAAGAAAGCTGCAATGCAGCATGAGGTAATTGTTGATAATAGGCACTGCCTGCTGATCTAGAACTCCATTTACTTGATTTACAAAGGCAATAAACACTGTTTCAATTTTGTAAAACTGTGAATTTTACTTTAAGGATCAGTTTTGTTATAAGAAGTTTAATGTAGAATGTATTCTGAACTGCCTTTTTCATAAGATGGATAGCTGCTGAAACACTTACATTTGAAAATGTCGTTTAGTTGTAATACTTAATGAAGTTCAATGTAAATGAAAGTATAATTTATAGATTAAAAATTAAGTAAATATGATTCAGATTTGCTGCTTGAGTATTTTTGAAAAATAAATATATGTTGACTAAAAGTATGTAGTTTCATTTAAAGATGATTAAACTTTTGATTCTGAAACTCACATTTCTAATGACGTCTGCTCTGCATATTATAAAGGTGGAGCTATTGCAAAACACAACCCATCTCATCTGCTTGTTGATTTTGTCTTTCAGATTGTATTTAAATACAAAGTGACATAATAGCTTGAATATCAGTTCACATGGCAAAATGACCTGTGAATAGATTGGGCAGATGCATAAGCAGAAAAAAAAGTCTTGGAAGTGATAATGATGTGATCATTTAAGTTAGGATCATGAAAATAAGGCAGTGTTAAATAAGAGTCATACTTGGCCTAAAATTCATCCTGGATCTGCAACCAGCAATCCTCTGAATCGTGTTTCTTTCGGCACTAGTTCCTTAAGAATTACTTGCCCTCCCCAACAGTAATTCAAATGAGAGCATTCCATTCAGGATAAACGAGCCAAAGCAGTTGTTAATTAGCACTTTCCATTGCCACTGTTGCCTTTTAATCCCATCTACTTCCATCAAAGGTTGTGATACATATTATATCCCAGAGAAAAACAAGAGCTACCAGCTTAAGGTTGACATGGTAAGAATTTAAATGTTGAACATCGTAAGTTGCCTAGCCAAGTCTCCATCAATTTTCACTTTAATCCTGTAGCATCACCAGAGGAATCATACAGGAAAAAATTCCTAATTGCTGAACTTTGTAAATGCATAGATATGAAAGAGTGCATATGCATATATGCGGCATCTTTCATGATGGTTGGTTCACTGGAAGTCCCGTGAAGAAGTATTGAAGTGTATTTGGTATGGCAGGCAATTTGAGCACAGCAAACTCCCACAATCAATCATAAGACCAGATATATTGTTTTTGTGATGTTGTTCTAGCATACCACTGGTCAGAATTCCCAGCTGTTTGCATGCAATCTTAAGTCCATCTGACAGGACAGTTTGGATTTTGACTTGAGCCACATCTGACAAGATATATTGATTTGTTTCATTTTACCATGCTGGTGTAGTGGACAGCAAAGGAGGTTACCTCAGAGTACAATGGAACCTTGATCAGAACCTTGAGAAATAGCAGATGGAGTTTAATTTAGGTAAATGTGAGGTGCTGCATTTTGGAAAGGCAAATCAGGGCAGGACTTATACACTTAATAGTGGGGTCCTGGCTGAACAAAGAGACCTTGGAGTTTAGGTTCATAGTTCCTCGAAGGTGGAGTTGCGGGTAGACAGGATAGTAAAAAAGGCATTTGGTATGCTTGCCTTTATTGGTTAGGGCATTGAATATAGGAGTTTGGAGGTCATATTGTGGCTGTATAGGACATTGGTTAGGCCACTTTTGGAATAGTGTGTTCAGTTCTCATCTCCCTGCTTTAGGAAGGATGTTGTGAGACTTGAAAGGACTCAGAAAGGATTTATAAGGACCAGGGTTGGAGGGTTTTATCTATAGGCAGACCAGAAGCTGAGAGGTGACATTATCGAGATTTATAAAATCATGAGGGGCATGGATAGGATGAATAGCCAAGGTCTTTTCCCTGGGGTGGGCGAGTCCGCAACAAGAGGGCATAGGTTTTAGGGTGAGAGGGGGAAGATTCAAAAGTAAACTAAGGGACAACTTTTTCATATAGAGGATGGTGCGTGTATGGAATGGGCTGCCAGAGGAAGTGGTGGAAGCTGGTACAATTACCACATGTAAAAGGCATCTGGATGGGTATATGAAGAAGAAAGGTTTAGGGGGATACAGGCCAAATGCTGGCAAAATGGAACTAGATTAGGATATCTGGTCCGCATGAATGGGTTGGATCAAAGGATCTGTTTCCATGCTGTACAGCTCTATGACTGTAGTCACAAGTAAACCACCAAATTGACTGGGTGAATAACCAAACAGCAAGGACTGTATCAGAACAACATTGCTTACAATTGTACATTCTCACACTCTCAAACATTTGTGTTTTTCTGGCTGTTTGGGAAAAACACAGCATTCAAAGCTAACAACAAAAAAAGGGACCAGGTCTGACCAGAAGATGTGCTGCTTTATGGGGAGCTGGAGTGGTGCTGACGTGACTATTTTAGTGCCTGTTTTATGTACTACCTTGAAATTTTCACAGTTCAGCCCAACTGAGAGCTGGGGGAAAATATCTTAAATATCTGTGATGTAAAAACTCTAAAATTTTGTTAGCCTTTTTAGTCATAGTGAAGTTTGAGGTGTGAAGTCAGGCCCTCTTAAATCCAGGATTCAGGGCCAGTATTTGAAAGGCTGCATACATGTTTGTGGCTCTTGATTTGGCATTTCTTCAAAGCTCTATGGTTATGTTGACCTTCAGTACAATTTGACAGGTAGTAACTCTGGGAATTACAGCAAATATTTTACTGATGCACAGTGACACCACTTTTTGCATTTGACTGCAAGAATGAAAGTAGTCCTATAACAAACAGTGTGAGATATTTTGAGGTTTAATATTCTGAAGATCAAATTCGGACTCTTTCACAACATAATGGCTTTGGTAAAGTTCAATATATTTGCACACAAGCAGTGACCAACCTAAATGTGTTTAACGGAGAACAAAAGTGACATTTTAGTTATGTTACCTTTTTTGAGACTTGTGCACTCATTACTCATAATTATTGTGAAATGTCATGATAGGCTGTTTAGTAAAAATGTTGTTAAAGTGTTTGGATGGAAATCTATATAGTTAAGATTTTTACAACAGCTGTTTTTGTAAAGGCTGTTTGTTCCTGGCCTGTACTGTATTTACACAGACATCTTTGCTGCAAAGTAAAACAAATAATCCAGGATTATAAAATTATTCTAATTACTAGCAGTTTTGAAAAAGCTACAGTGATAATTGAATTACATTTCTCTAAACAAACATCATCCTTGTAAATTTGACAATATAACTGAAATGAATATCTGATAGAGAATGTCACTTTCTGATGGATCAGTTCTGTTGGGCAATTATTTTTGCTGATTTTGTATGCTCAGACAAATAAACAACCATCACTAATTAGTAAACAGTAGGGGACCTCAGGCTCAACTATTTCTGTGCAAGGCGTCTTGATAAAAATGCAATTTTTGGTAAATAACAAGCTTTACAAGTTTAGGATTCTAGAATTTAATCAAAATAAAAGTTCGTTTCACTTTGGCAAAATGAAAATAGTTTTTCTATCCATGATGAACAGCTATAATAAGCTATAAATTGCTGTTACCCTTTCAAAGTTCAAAACCAAAAAGAGCTTTTCTGCAATTGACAGATTTTAAATTTATGCACGTACAGGTGCTCAGAACAAATTCAGTTGATCTTCATTAATCCGATGCAAATCCTTTCCTCTGCATCCTATTCCAGGCCTTCCTTGTCACAGCTGTCCTGTAAGAGTTTTAAAAAAAAAGTTATAGTTCATTTCTTAGATAAGTGTGTTAAGCTGTTGGAGGGCCATAATAAATAAAATGAGGATTTAGGAAACATGGTTAGTAAGTTTGAGGATGAAACTAAAATTGGTGGTACAGTAGACAGTGAAGAAGATTATTTAAGATTATAAAGGGCTCTTGATCAACTGAGCCAATGGACTGAGGAATCGCAGAGGGAGTTTAATTTGGAAAAATATGAGGTGTTGCATTTTGATAAGATGAACAACGACAGGACTTACACAGTTAATAGTAACCCCTGGGTGTGTTATCAAGCAGAGGCTGAGGGGTTCAGGTATATGGTTCCTTATAAGTTATGTCACAGGTAGATAGGATGGTAAAGAAGGTGTTTGGCACACTTGCCTTCATTGCTCAGATCATTGTGTATAAGAGTTGGGAGGTCATGTTGTGGTTGTACAGGATGTTGGTGAGATCACTTTTGGAGTACTGTGTACTGTTCTGGTCGCCCTGCTATAAGGATATTATTAAATTGGAGACCGTGCACAAAAGATTTACAAGGATGTTACTGGGACTGAGTTAGGAGGAAAGGCTGGAACTTCTTTCGCTGGAAAACAGGAGGTTTATAAAATCATGAGGGGCATAGATAAGGTGAATAGTAAAGGTCTTTTCCCTAAGGTAGAGGAGTTCAAAACTAGAGAGCATGTTTTTAAGATGAGAGGCGAAAAATTTAAAAAGGGTAACTTCTTCACACAGAGGATGGTTTGTTTGTGGTAGATTCAGGTATATGTTGTAACTAAAAGAAATTTGGACAGGTACATGAATGGGGAAGGTTTAGAGGGACATGAGCCAAATACAGGAAAATCTGGATTGTAGCTACGCCTGCCTCTTTGTAGGTTACGTGGAACAATCCCTCTTCCGTACCTACACCGGCCCTAAACCCCACCTCTTCCTCCGTTACATTGATGACTGTATCGGCG